AAGGTGAGTTACAGTAGTTTAGGAGAAACTTATTTCACGCTACAGTAAGGTGAGTTACAGCAGGTTAGGAACAACTTATGTCACACTACAGTAATTTGAATTACAGTAGTTTAGGAACAACTTATGTCACACTACAGTAAGGTGAGTTACAGTAGTTTAGAAGCAACTTATGTTACACTACAGTAAGGTGAGTTACAGTAGTTTAGGAACAACTTATATCACACTACAGTAATTTGAATTACAGTAGTTTTGGAACAACTTATGTCACACTACAGTAAGGTAAGTTACAGTAGTTCTGGAGCAACTCATGTCACTCTACAGTAAGGTGAGTTACAGTAGTTTAGGAGCAACTTATATCACACTACAGTAAGGTGAGTTACAGCAGTTTAGGAACAGCGTATAACACACTACAGTAAGGTGAGTTACAGTAGTTTAGGAGCAACTTATCTCACACTATGGTGAGTTACAGTAGTTTAGGAGCAACTTAAGTCACACTATAGTATAGTGAGTTACAGCAGCTTAGGAGCAACTTATCTCACACGAAGGTGAGTCATAGTAGTTTAGGCGCAACTTATGTCACACTACAGTAAGGTGAGTTACAGTAGTTTAAGAAGAACTTATGTAACACTACAGAAATTTGAATTACAGTAGTTTAGAAACAACTTATGTCACACTACAGTAAGGTAAGTTACAGTAGTTCTGGAGCAACTCATGTCACTCTACAGTAAGGTGAGTTACAGTAGTTTAGGAGCAACTTATATCACACTACAGTAAGGTGAGTTACAGCAGTTTAGGAGCAACCTATGTCACACTACAGTAAGGTGAGTTACAGTAGTTTAGATCCAACTTATGTCACACTACAGTAAGGTGAGTTACAGCAGTTCAGGAGCAACTTATGTCACATTAATGTGAGTTACATTAGTTTAGGAGGAACTTATGTCACACTACAGTTAGGTGAGTTACAGTAGTTTAGAAGCAACTTAAGTCACACTGAGGTAAGGTGAGTTATAGCAGTTTAGGAGCAACATATGAAACACTACAGTAAGGTGAGTTACAGTAGTTTAGGAACAACTTAAGTCACACTATAGTATAGTGAGTTACAGCAGCTTAGGAGCAACTTAAGTCACACTGCAGTAAGGTGAGTTACAGTAGTTTAGAAGCAACTTAAGTCACACTGCAGTAAGGTGAGTTATAGTAATTTAGGAGCAACATATGTCACACTACAGTAAGGTGAGTTATAGTAATTTAGTAGCAACTTATGTCACACTAATATGAGTTACAGTAGTTAAGGAGAAACTTAAGGCACACTACAGTAAAGTGAGTTACAGTACTTTAGGTAGAACTTAAGTCACACTACAGAAAGGTGAGTTACAGTAGCTTAGGAGCAACTTATGTCACACTACACAAAGGTGAGTTACAGTAGTTTAGAGCACAAGTCAACTACAGTAAGGTGAGTTACAGTAGTTTAGGAGCACTTTATCTCACACTAAGGTGAGTTACAGTAGTTTAGAGCAACTTAAGTCACACTATTGTATAGTGAGTTACAGCAGCTTTAAGTCTTATTAGTGAAGTCAGTAGTAGTTATAGGTGAGTCGTAGGGAGCAACTATGTCACACTACAGTAAGGGGAGTTACAGTAGTTTAGAAGCAACTTATGTCACACTACAGTAAGGTGAGTTACAGTAGTTCAGGAGCAACTTATTTCACACTAATGTGAGTTACATTAGTTTAGGAGGAACTTATGTCACACTACAGTAAGGTGAGTTACAGTAGTTTAGAAGCAACTTAAGTCACACTGCAGTAAGGTGAGTTATAGTAATTTAGGAGCAACATATGTCACACTACAGTAAGGTGAGTTATAGTAATTTAGTAGCAACTTATGTCACACTAATGTGAGTTACAGTAGTTAAGGAGAAACTTAATCACACTACAGTAAAGTGAGTTACAGTACTTTAGGTAGAACTTAAGTCACACTACAGAAAGGTGAGTTACAGTAGCTTAGGAGCAACTTATGTCACACTACAGTAAGGTGAGTTACAGTAGTTTAGGAGCAACTTAAGTCACACTACAGTAAGGCGAGTTACAGTAGTTTAGGAGCAACTTGTCTCACACTAAGGTGAGTTACAGTAGTTTAGGAGCAACTTCGGTCGCACTACAGTATGGTGAGTTACAGTAGTTTAGGAGCAACTTATGTCACACTACAGTAAAGAGAGTTACAGTAGTTTAGGAGAAACTTATGTCAGACTACAGTAAGGTGAGTTACCGTAGTTTTGGAGCAATTTATCTCACACTAAGGTGAATTACAGTAGTTTAGGAGCAACTTAGGTCACACTATAGTATGGTGAGTTACAGTAGCTTAGGAGCAACTTATCTCACATGAAGGTGAGTCATAGTAGTTTAGGCGCAACTTATGTCACTCTACAGTAAGGTGAGTTACAGTAGTTTAGAAGCAACTTATGTCACACTACAGTAAGGTGAGTTACAGTAGATTAGGATTAACTTATGTCACACTACAGTAAGGTGAGTTACAGTAGTTTAGGAGCAACTTATATCACACTACAGTAAGGTGAGTTACAGCAGCTTAGGAACAACTTATAACACACTACAGTAACGTGAGTTACAGTTGCTTAGGAGCAACTTTTCTCACACTAAAGTGAGTTACAGTAGTTTAGGAGCAACTTAGGTCGCACTCTATTATGGTGAGTTACAGAAGTTTAGGAGCAACATATGTAACATTACAGTAAGGTGAGTTACAGTAGTTTAGGAGCAACTTATGTCACACTACAGTATGGTGAGTTATAGTAGTTTAGGAGCAACTTATGTCACACTACAGTAAGGTGAGTTACAGTTGTTTAGGAGAAACTTATGTCACACTACACTAAGGTGAGTTACAGTAGTTTTGGAGCACCTTATCTCACACTACAGTAAGGTGAGTTACAGTAGTTCAGGAGCAACTTATGTCACAATACAGTAAGGTGAGTTACAGTAGTTTAGGAGAAACTTATGTCACAGTACAGTAAGGTGAGTTACAATAGGTTAGGAACAACTTATGTCACACTACAGTAATTTGAATTACAGTAGTTTAGGAACAACTTATGTGACACTACAGTAAGGTGAGTTACAATAGTTTAGAAGCAACTTAAGTCACACTACAGTAAGGTGAGTTATAGTAGTTCAGGAGCAACTTATGTCACAATCAGTATGATGAGCTACAGTAGTTTAGGAGAAACTTATGTCACACTACAGTAAGGTGAGTTACATTAGGTTAGGAACAACTTGTGTCACACTACAGTAGTTTACATTACAGTAGTTTAGGAACAACTTATGTCACACTACAGTAAGGTGAGTTACAGTAGTTTAGAAGCAACTTAAGTCACACTACAGTAAGGTGAGTTATAGTAGTTTAGGAGCAACTTATGTCACACTACAGTAAGGTGAGTTGCAGTAGGTTAGGAACAACTTATGTCACACTACAGTAAGGTGAGTTACAGTAGTTTAGGAACAACTTATATCACACTACAGTAAGGTGCGTTGCAGTAGGTTAGGAACAACTTATGTCACACTACAGTAAGGTGAGTTACAGTAGTTTAGGAACAGCTTATGTCACACAGTAAGGTGAGTTGCAGTAGGTTAGGAACAACTTATGTCACACTACAGTAAGGTGAATTACAGTAGTTTAGGAACAACTTATGTCACAGTACAGTAAGGTGAGTTACAGTAGTTTAGGAGCAATTTATGTCACACTACAGTAAGGTGAGCTACAGTAGTTTAGGAACAACGTATGTCACACTACAGTAAGGTGAGTTACAGTAGTTTAGGAGCAAATTATCTCACACTACAGTACGGTGAGTTACAGTAGTTTAGGAGCAATTTATGTCACACTACAGTAAGGTGAGTTACAGTGGTTTAGGAACAACTTATGTCACACTACAGTAAGGTGAGTTACAGTAGTTTAGGAACAACTTAAGTCACACTACAGTAAGGTGAGTTACAGTAGTTTAGGAACAACTTATGTCACACTACAGTAAGGTGAGTTACAATAGTTTAAGAACAACTTATGTCACACTACAGTAAGGTGAGTTACAGTAGTTTAGGAACAACTTAAGTCACACTACAGTAAGGTGAGTTACAGTAGTTTAGGAACAACTTATGTCACACTACAGTAAGGTGAGTTACAATAGTTTAAGAACAACTTATGTCACACTACAGTACGGTGAGTTACAGTAGTTTAGAAGCAGTTTAAGTCACACTACAGTAAGGTGAGTTACAGTAGTTTAGGAAAAACACATCTCACACTAAGGTGAGTTAAAGTAGTTTAGAAGCAACATATGTCACACTACAGTAATGTGAGTTACAGTAGTTTATGAGCAACTTATGTCACACTACAGTAAGGTGAGTTACAGTAGTTTTGGAGCAACGTATGTCACGCTACAGTCAGGTGAGTTACAGTAGTTCAGGAGAAGTTATCTCACACTACAGTAAGGTGAGTTACATTTGTTTAGGAACAACTTATCTCACACTACGGAGAGTTACAGTAGTTTGGGAACAACTTATGTCACATTAGAGTGAGTATTTCAAGACATTTAAACACAGCACAAAGAAAGAATCATTTGAATGGTGGAGAGACAGCATTGTAAATTCAGTAGAGAACATACAAACACTAACTCACTCTCATGATTTTGTTTATGACGCCGCCAGTAATGAAATATGAGGAAATATGAAGATCAGGTAAACAGATAACAAATATCGGAATGTGTAGGAAACTTTCGTAGATGATAAATACTTTTGTCAAAACATGTAACATGTTGTCGTTGAATAATTTAAATGCTCGTGAATACAGAATGGATGGGAAGATGATAAATAAAAAAAAATGTAAGAGAACAAATAAAAGGATGGGAAAAATAAATAAGGACGATGGAGAAGACATGAGAAGTATATTAATAAATAAATAAGGAAGCTGGAAAATACCTATGAAGAATGGTACACCTTAAGAATACTGACCTCCGAAATGCATACTCTTGGCTCTGTCTCCACACACTCTACACGTTCGTAGGCTCTTGCTGGTTGTTGAATCAGCGTCGGGACTCACGAGGGTGGCAGCGGGCTGCGTGGCTGGGGGAGAATAAGCTAGTCAGAAGCGACCATAGGCCATAGACTCTATAGATTAGGAGCCTTTCCTTTACATCTACACTATATAATAAAGGCTCGTAGTCTGCATGCAAATATTATCAAACTACCGTCGTAGAGGCAGAAAGACTACTGTACAAGCGGTATAATTTTCGCTCCTTAGAATACTTGGATCTAGATCTTTCAGATTCGTAAGATGCATATTCCACATAACTGAAGATGTAAGAATTCAATTGACTGACAGACTTAATACATAAAAAAAGCACGCAATGATAACATAACTTTTTTACTGAACTTTGCTTTAACTTGATAAGCTTGCCTATCATCGGTCAACATTAACGTAGACTGTCTCGTAGACTCCCTGAAACATTCATATCATCAATTGCCCCCGTCCCCCTAAATGTGTGCCAAGTGAACTTATTTGCTTAGTACACATCACATGTTATTTTCTGACCTTATTTCTGTGCCTTAGCTAAAGTCTTCTAGATCGAAGAATTCTTCAGTAACGAGGAATATTCACCTTGCAGCACCACGTCTAAGCTTTCAGTGCGATAGGCATTGTAACACTACCGTGATAATACCTTCAAATTTACTCTCATAATTCGTTTATGCTCTACGTTGTTGTGGTATAATTCCCTACCATTACATCAACAAATCGAGGATATCTTTTCTGATTATGAATTATTAGTCATAAGTATGTTCAGGAAAAAGTTAGTATTGTATATATATACTTAGTGAGCTAATTTAATCTACTGATTATTCTTACCCACTAGAAAAATTACGGAACGAGCGAGACTAAGTGATGGTCTTAATGAACTGGAGGTTGACCTCTGAATTTCTCTCACCAACAAAAATCTTCGGTCGATCACATTTGGGACTTTTGTACCAACAAGGCCAAGCTGTATTTCCAATAAAAGACTAACCAACCCTGAGATCCACACTGCGATAGTTTATTGTTCCAAACTAATAAAATCGACTGCAAGGTTCAGCAGCGTTATTTAAATGAACGCTTTAATTACGCTTTTGATGAATATGTAAAAAGATAGATTTTCTTTTCCACGCTGAGGGCCACACGTCATTTCTGTAACGGTGGTCACGGTAAGTATCCGTCGACCAGATTTTGCATCGTAGCCTGAAAGAGTCAAGAACCACTGCTCAAGATGATGGGTAGTGTTGAGGTTGACGCATGAACTAGTACAAAGTACATCAACTTTATGCTAGCTGACGATTCTACTGGTTTGTGGCACAACAAACGAATATCTCAAAATGTAAACAAACATGAAGGCATTCATAACTTGACTAATCTTAGCATGCATAAGCTAATCAATTATTATAATATTACAAGCATAAAATTTGGCTTCACCAACCCTGTGAATCCACATCAGAGGTAGAGCCATCATCGGAAAGTAGGTCCTCAGTACCGACGGAGACCCTGACACTGTTGGTTGTAGTTTGTGTCTTTTGTTGCTGCTCATGCTCCTTAGCCACACTCTGAGGCAGGTCCTTCTTCCTCTGGCGATTCTCTTCACTGCTCATCTTGTGTCTGATTTTCAACTATCTGAAGAAACAAAAAAACTTAGAAATCAGTAAATCCGTGGAATACTTCATTCGTCCCGACAGCAGATATATTCAGGGAAGTGTGACGGGGCATGTCTAAGATCTGTGTCTTGTCAGACGAAGTGATCACGCGAACACGAAAAGGAAACCTCGATTATTGGACGAAGTCTGAGCTAGTATGCTCTTTTTGCGCTGTAGATGGTTGAGAAAATACATAATACAGGGCGCCTAAAATAAATGCATACACAATGCCTAACAGATTTTTGTGGTGATCGCGTGAAAATTTGCATTGCAACAACAAGAACACTGTCCTCATTTGTTGACGTGCGAGGTCTCCCGCAACGTTCTAATAGACGTCGTAAATAAAAAAGCGAAGACAATGTTGCTATTGTAATACATATATTTACACAATAGCCAAGAAAATCTTAAGGCAGTGTATATACAGTATACTGTATCTTTTGAGACACCCGATATACCTGTCGGTTGTCTGTCATTATAACTTAACTTTTATCAACCACCCAAGTGTATTTTAACTTACGCCGTGAATTACAACAGTCAGTATGTAAAGGTAGTGTAATGAAAGACAAAATATACATCACGGAGCACTGTGCAGTACTTCTTAGGTTATATAAAATGGTGGTCATGTGTCTGGCAGCGCATGACTCCTGGGCCTCCTAGCTAAGTTGCTAACCATTAAAATTACTCGTCTGTCCGGCAGCTGTCGAGAGGACTAATTCAGATTAATAAATTTGCTTAATTACTTTGTTGACTCTTAGAAAATATCATGAACATCACCGGGTATAACGGATGAAGTCCGTCTTGTGAATTGAAGAACAGTGTGGTGGTGTTCCATCCATGCTGTACAGAACCTCGTCAGGCGGCGTGGGCGACGCTAAGTACCTAGAGATGACCAGTTCAATTTCAATTTCAATATTTTATTCCTTGATAGAGGAACCGGGATCCAAGTGCTGTCACTAGGTACCCCTGCACAATAACACCAGAAGCATCTGGCAAGTGTCACAAGTATATATAAATATTATAAAGGGGCTTACTAAAGCCTAAGGAAGGAAGGATATTCCTTGAACACATCATCAATATTATTGACAGAATATCTGGACAGTATGGGGAGGATCATCGTGTCTCCGTCAGAGGGTCGTGGAGTGGTGGTCCAGCAGGCGTCACGGAAGCGTTGTGTGTGGGGACATCTTAGGAGGTAGTGGACACGGGTGCGGCTGTCGGGGTCTTCTGCATAATGCACAAGCGCGTTGCTCAGGGGAGGCAGGGATACCAGTCTCCCAAGCAAAGTCATACCCGATGATGATACGCGCAGCAATCACGTCCCTTTTCCGGGACCCTTTCCCATATACGTACGAGAGGTCAGGGAGTTTACTTAGGATATCGTACCAGATGGGCGGGGAGTCCAGGGGGATGGCTTCTTCCCGAGCTTCTCTCTGTTTATGGCGAATTTGGGTCCTAAGCTGTAAAAGTGTTCGAGGAACAACGTAGTCAGGTGTGGCCATGTTACAGCCAGTCTTGGCAAGGCCGTCTGCTGCCTCATTCCCCAAGATACCGACATGACTGGGTATCCACAGGAATGTCACAGGACGGCCTGCATTCTGAAGTGTTGATGTTAACCCTTGTATTTAGAGGATGAGGTCCTTATTTTCCCCTGATCCAAATGCGATCCTGTCGAGAGCAGACCTGGAATCGCAACAGACAAGCAAGGGGCAGAAACTACCGGCTTCTTCCTCAGCGAGAAAGGCAGCAAGGAGGGCTATCAGTTCAGCCTGAGTGGAGGATACCCCGTCAGAAACTCTGAGAGAGTTTGATAGGCTCAGGGGCATCAGGACAGGAGATGTAAACACCAGCACCAGCCCTACCTGTAGCGGGGTCAACAGAGCCATCAGTGTAGAGGACGATCCTACCTGGGGACCAGTGGGCGTTCCTGGAGAGGTGGTATTTTCTGAGAATAACAGGGTTCACGTGGGATTTCGGGAGCGGTCCGCCGAGGGCAATCACTTCAGGTTGAAAATCCAGCCAGGGAGAAGGAGAGGGCTCGGATGAGTGACCTTATCCACTGTCATCTAGATGGAGGTCGGCCTCGGACAGCAGGAGACAAGTTGGCTTGGACATAGTTGTCTCGAGGATCCCGTAGAATGGAAACGGTAGTTTTCAGGTAAAACTCCTGGACACGATCCTATAAGGGGGAAAGACCAAGTTCGGTAAATAGAGAAGTAGAGCGTGTCCACTGAGGGGCCCCAAGGATGATACGAGCAGCTTTCCTCTGGATAACTTCGAAACGGTTGACATCAGTCCGACTAATGTTAACGAGGGCAGGGGTGGCGTTGTCGACACAGGAACGGACAAAGGACTTGTACATGGTGAGAAGTACAGGGATGGTGACACCAAGGGAGGATCGGTCATTGAGGCACATGTAAGCTCACTTGGGGACTCCGACGACAGAAGGAGGTCACCCTCTACAGCCCTAGACGGGGTGCAAGGGGGAGCCGTAGCCCCTGCTGGAGACCCTGACTTCTGAGGTTTCTGGTTCTCAGACTTGTCTTCAAGATGTAAGTCATCAGCATCACTGTCATCCGTTTCCGCAGTCTCCAACGAACAGGAGCGTTTAACAGCGGGCACAGGGCACGTTGGGACCACTGCAGTCAGGTAGATAGTTTGGTTTGTTTGAGGTGGAGTGGTAAAGACGTCACTGCTACGTCACACTTCACATTGCGCATGCTCAAACTTGAAAATATTCGACCAGAGAGACCGGGTTGTATGACCAGATGTTTTTATCAAACAAAAATGACTAAGTCCATAACTTAAAAAAAAAAAAAATAGATGCCACTGTGCTGATAACTGGGTCTTACTATAGTTCTCTGCACAGAGTGGGATTAGTAGACTCGCTGAATTCGTCAGAAATACGACTTTTAAGGAGCAGTCTTTTACAGCCTTTGTTGACACCCACGGCACGAATGTGCGTTTTCTATGACCAATTTATTGTGAATTGTATTGACGTCCTTTGCAAGGTCAGAGGACAACGGTGTTACGCTCTCATCATTGTTTGTTTTCATTTATATATATATATATATATATATATATATATATATATATATATATATATATATATATATATATATATAAACACTGGCCAACCTATACCAGTGAATGCCCTACTTCATCTCAGTGGGCCGCAAAATAACCATGACCCCATGAATAACCCATAAATACATTTAACACAGGCCGAATGTTTCATGATGAGTTATAATTGTCAACAACTTTAAATAATACGAGAAAAAATCAAACACACTAGTAATGGTACAGTACGTTCAATATATAGTAATAGGACTCCTGACGACCAAAATTGGGAAGGTGGGGGCGGTGTACAACATCTGTTTACAAATACTTTACAATACAACATAGATAAGCACAATCTCCCAACAACCAAAGGCCGTGGAACACCGAGTTGATCATAAAGTGTTACCATATATAAAAAAAAAATATATAGGCCTACTTTATTCGAGAATCTAAATATATTAAGGAATGAAATTAAACTAATTAAAATTATCAGTGATTTATAGAAGCATTGGTAAACAATTATGTTAGTATAAATCCACCCCCCTAAAAAATATGGTCAAATGAAAGCCGCTTCTTGTATGTTTCTTTCATGTGTGTGTGTGTGTGGAATGGTTGGCCTTGCTTCTTCTCAATTATTTGTTTTATTCGAGGCTGCGTCACTGCCAAGGCGCACCCCATGCCCAGGTCGACATCCCATTGGTTATGACTCTTATTCTTTATTTATATGAGGGTGGAGAAACCAAACTCGTGTGAATAGTTTGAGCTAAATGGCAAGAGGACTCAAAGTGGAATGTGACTGACTTTTGGATACATTGAAGATGTTATCACGGTGCTGCCAGATGCAGGGAATATGTTAAATGTTCATATAATTTTTTCTTTAGGAAGGCAAAGAGCATTGCAAGAATAACCACTGCTTTACCACGGGAACAGTTATGTAGACATCCCCTAACCTGCTAAGTCAGAATGAACGATAAAATTTTATTTAATGTCAGACTTCCCATATTTTCTTGAAAATCCCAAACTTCACATCTCACCGTAGACCCCTGAAAATCTTGCCGTGGATCCCCTGTTGGGAAACAGCGGGCCAGACCAAAAGCGACGCCGATATACTATTTCTCAAGTGTGTTAACAGAGTTGATTTTGCTGGAATACAAAACACTCACGTAAATTTATAACTTTAAAAGATAATATAATTAGAAGGTTTATTAGAATGTAGTTACTGGATCCGTTTTTCAAGCTGTACTGATGGGGGTTATCTGAAACTATAAGCAGAATAAGCAGAACTTGTCTAATAATTAATCTCAAATGGAAGAACAGAGAGAGAGAGGGAGGGAGAGAGAGAGAGAGAGAGAGAGTAGAAGAAATCAAACTTTGCTTGCTACATTTTCAGCTTCCACTAATTTCTATTTTCTTAATAGATAAATTTTTCATCACCTTTTGATAGGCACCCAAACTATTTAATTATCCACATTCTGCTTTCAGTTCTCAGACTTCTCAATATCGTTTCCATCACTGTTGTTTTTTAATATTTCACTCATTCTAATTACCTACGGTATACTTTCCTATTTTCTTATTTCTTTCCTTCTACTTTTTCCACGTGGAGTTACTTGCCGAGACAGCACCAGTTCTTTCTGTGTATTCTTATTTAGTAGTTTAAGAGAGCCTTTTTTAATAGCATCTTCACCAAAGAGAATACAACACAAACGTTCTCCATGGTGTTTACAAAATCCTTTGTTTGTGCTTACAGCCACATGAAGTTATACCTTCAGAACATTGGTATGTATAACATCAGTTTGTGGTCATAACTTTATTCTGCGCACGTTCGCTGTGACATTTACCAAGACTTGCTGAGGAAATTGTAAAGGACACACCCCAGTTGTCTGAGGGACTTTATAAACACTTTGTACATACGTCATCCCGTTC